GGGGGGGGGGAAATCCTTGGGTTTATTCTAAGGAGGTGAGGGTTCCTTAAATATTCTGAAAAGGCTCTGGCTACATGGATAATTGTATATTTTGGGGAGTAGGCAAAGGTGTCCTTTATTTTGGTAGGGTCACCTTCATCTCATGGGTGGATTGCGATATCCTGGGGATGGGAACGATTGTTTCTGCAGGGGATGAATGGATCCAGCCCCCAGATTCAAGGTGTTTAGGGGTGAGGGAGTCCCTGGTGCCTGAGGGAAGCAAGATTGAATATCAGCCTCTCGCTGCAGACTGCCCAGGATACAAAGCTGGCTCTGTACCCTGGCATACCCGCCCTGCCTGGTATAATAATGTCCTGCTTTGTAATGGGGCTGGATTGAGGAGTGGAGTCCAGTGGTTACAGTAGGAAGGGCTGGAAGCCAGGACTTCTGGGTTCTCTCCTTGGCTCTGGGAGGGAAGTGGGTGCAGGGGAGGGGGGGGGGGCAGGGATAGCTGCATTTTACTCCTCACCAGCTTCTCTCTCTCTCTCTCTCCTGGCTCCTTTTCAGAACAGATTCTCTTTGCCTCACAATGGATCCTTCATCCCTTTCAATGCCTTGGGCTCTGGGGAGCAGTGCCTGGTTGGACTCTGCTGCAGAGAAAGCAGGTCAGGGAAATGAAGACCCTGGGATCAGAACCAGCACCATTGACCAGGGATCACAAGGGACTCCCAGCTCCTCAGCCTGGAGCTCCATCAGCTGCTTGGGGGAGGAAGAGGCAAAGACGGTCACATTTTGGAGGCACTTTTAAATGCCTGTATCTGCACTTTAAGGCTGTGCTGTTACTGTAATTCTCCCCCCCCCCTCCCCCCACATACACACACTCTGCCCCAATGGCCCTACTTCCTCTCTACTGCACATAAAGCAGGGCTAGGAACCAGGACTCCTGGGTTCCCTCCCTTGCTTTCTGAGGGGGAATAGGGTGGGGGTTAGAAGAGGGACCTGGGATCCAGTATCACACCGTTAGCATTCCAGTGATCTCTGCTGGGTGGTAAGGGGTGGGGAAGGGTAGATCACTTCCTTCCCCCATCTCTGGCAAGGACAAGTAAGTCACTAACATGTGGGGTGGGATTTGAGCTGTGCTGTCCCTTTAAGAGGGAGGCTTTCTAGACGGGATTAGGCCTGCTGCATGCAGGGGGAACTGTAAGGTCATGTTCCTGTCATGAGCAGTGTGCCCTAGTGTAGTTGGACCTTAGTCTTTGCACAAGCCTGGCTCTGCTGTGCAACTGCACACACATCTGCATGGGACATTGCCAAGAGGGCTTCTGTACATTTGCACAAGTGGTTTTGCACACCCATCTAGAGTGGGCTAAAAGAGTTGGGGACGAGGGGGCTGAGTGTGACATGGATGGGGCCAAGTGGATTTGCACATTGGTATGTAACTGCAAACTTGTGTGGAACAGAGGAACATTCTGAAGTGGTCTGTTGGAACTGGCTTTTTTTGAGGGGGGTGTCTCTGTAGTGTCCTCTACACCAAGCAGATTCCTTTGGTGCCACCTGCATGTGGTCACCTCCTGCAACCTAATGAGTTCTCTGCACATAGAGGGGACACCTGCTTTCATGCTGATCAACTGCTGCAGCCAGGGTCTCTGTGTGCACACACTACATCGCACACACATCCTGCCCTGAGCTGCACACTTGCACAGAGGACCTGCTCCATGCCATGCCCTAGGGCTCTCTACCCACATTGAATGCCAGGTGCACTTGTGGGAGGTATCTGTACCTATGCTGCTGTCTGTGTACAGAGTTCTAGGCGCATATGATGCTGTGCAGGTGTTGCACCTGGAGAATGTGGCACACCCATCTCTACACCTTCTGCCTGCCCAGAGCCATACACTGGTGTACTAGACAAGAGCCACTCAAGGGGTGTGTAAAGATTGTGTGCACATGGACCTACACATCTCTATCTGGGGGTAGATTAGTCTCATGGGGCCAGAGCAGGGGGGCGGGTCCGGGTCCCTCCCCACCCATTTCTCCTGTAGCCCTACCCACAGCTCCATCTCTTTTGTACCCCTTCCCCAGCCATCCCTGCTTCACTGAGGGTTCCCCTCCCATTCTCCCTAAGTGGCTGTAGGTTTCTGTTGCCCGGCACCAGGTTTTTTCAGGGGTGGGGAGCAGTTGGCTGGGGGGCCCTGTGCACAGGACCCTTTGTTCCAGTGTCTAAACCACCACTGTTTCTATGTAAACACACTCTGCTGTGTGTGTGCAGAGACAGCAGTATTGGGGGGAGGGCACTGGTGAGCTCACACTGTATAGCAACCTCCCTCCCCATGCACACAGGAAACCATAAGCCCTCAAGGGCCACAGGTGGAGGGGGCGGGGCTTGTAAGATATCAAACTAAGGGGCTCTTGTATTCATTCTAAACCACCACTGTTTCTATGTAAACACACTCTGCTGTGTGTGTGCAGAGACAGCAGTATTGGGGGGAGGGCACTGGTGAGCTCACACTGTATAGCAACCTCCCTCCCCATGCACACAGGAAACCATAAGCCCTCAAGGGCCACAGGTGGAGGGGGCGGGGCTTGTAAGATATCAAACTAAGGGGCTCTTGTATTCATTCAAATCCCCCCCCCCCCCCACCCCCGGGCCTGATGGGAAGAGA